AACCGAGTGCTGCTCTCCCGAGCACCCCCCAAGCGCTTAAACTATTCTCCAATTTCCTGCTTTAGCGTCCCCCTCCCTCCCCCCTTTTCGTTCTTTTCTATTCGACTCGCAGCGAGGTGAGCATCCTCTCCAATCAATTTCCCTCCTGCACCCCCCCCCCCTTCCCTCTCTTTGCGCAGCTTTTGTTGGCAGCTTTGTAAGCCAGTAAGGCGCCCATGCCCGCTTGCCAAGCTCGCCGACCGTATTAACGCTTGTTACGCGCATAATAGCATTTCGCTCGCTCAGTTGAACCTCCTCGACTGCAAATGGCTGAGGCGGCCGGAGGCGGCCGGAGGCGGCTCGCGGCGCCTGCCCCCGTGCAGGCATGCATTAACCTACCCTAGGGCCGGGACGGGGCGTTCCTGGAAAGACATCACATTATACCCCGGGACCCCGGCTTGCTCTCGCGTGCACAAAGTTTGGGGAGGAGAGCGAAAGAATGAGCAGCGGGCGAGAGAGCCTTCGCTCTTGATGCCCCCGGTGCGTTTGCTTTGAGGTTTTCGCTCCTTTTGTTTCCGGGCGGCACGCTGAAGGGGATGGAGGAGGTGTGTTGTGGGAGGGGGGGGGGGGGGGGGGGGGGGGGGTCAAGGGGTGGGAAGGTAAAGGTAAGGCGAGGCGAAGGTATATGGAGGCGGTTCCTGCAATGTGATGCTTGTTCTGTTTGTTTTCTATCACGTTTCCTGAATAGGATGTCGGCTCGTGTTAGTGTATGGCGGCGCGGCACTCAAAAAGAGTGCTGACTGCACACACACATGCACACAACTACAATCGTGCGTTGCAGGATTGAGTGGGGCTTTGCAGTTCCGAGTAAACTTTTGCATGGCATCACCGTCTTTTATAAAACGCTTTAATCTTACGGGAGTATGTAGTCTCTGTAGCACGGGGGGCCCGGAATTTGGCGCCACGTCAGCCATAGCCGAGAAGATCAGGGATGCGTTGGGTTTCAGGGTGAGTGGAGGTTTGTCCCAGATCCAGATTCAGAAAGACCTTCGGCCTGCGTCACCTCCACCACAATGTTACGGTTTACAAAACATATCTAAATATAAATTTGCCAGAGTTTTTAAAAAATCGTCGGCTGTACTCTTGAAAAAAAAATATGGCCCTTGCCCTACCCACCTAGTTTTTTTCCCACGGTGACCCGTCTGTTCAACTTTGGAGTTCGGGATGGGATCGGCTGTGTTCAGGCACCCTGTCGCCGGCCAGGTTTTGGACTGTTTTGCTTTGCCAAAGCCGGTTCTCGTAGCAGAGGCAGTCAACAAATACAGGGTATGAGAGTACTTTTAGATTTGACCCCCCCCCTTCTCCCTACCTTATTTTGTTAAAAGAAGTTATGGCTACTAAAACTTATTTCGCTGTCTTGACCAATATTTCTTTTTCTCACTTCGTATTTGACGAATTTGACTTGACTGGAGGGGTTACTGCTCTTGCTTTCAGTTGAAGGTGTATTGTTAAAATAGAATGCAAATATATTTTTTGTAAGATGGCAATTTGTTTTATTATTAATTTGGAATGATTCTATTCTCATGGAGATATATAAATGAACATATACATATGACATAATTACATACAAACAGGTATACCATAATTAAATATAGCACATTTTGTGCCAAGTACGTTTTTAAATACCCTTTTAAATATACATTTTAACAAAGACTAATCAACTTTTTAAACCCATGCTCAAAATCTACATTTTTTGCAGACATTAGAATGGCGATCTCACAGATCTACATTCAATAAAATATACAAATTAAGTCTTCTCTATCACTTGCAGGGTAAGGATATCTCTTGATATAATACAGAAAATACATTTATACACAACTAGAATACATAAGTACACAAAAAACTGCTCTATTTGTAAATGACTAAAGAATGACTATTATTCAATGTACTTCAACGGTGGTGAAGTTGTATAACTCTTTTGCTTACATATTAGAGATTCTTTTCTCTGACTTAAATCAGGTGACAAATTGACAAGTCTATTACAGGGTATGTGGAGAATTATACATGAGACCTATTAGAATTCAACATTATTTAAAAACAAAACATTCAAATAGTTGAATACTAATTAATACTGAATTATCTAGACAGAGCATAAAAACAATCTTCAGAGATCTCATTTAACACATAGAACACAATGTTTTACAGGGTAAAATGATCATGAACAAGTGAACTCGTAACTTAACTCAAAACTGGCACTGAAGTTCTACCCAAAGTACATTTTGTCAATCTTTCACAAATACACAGCTTTGCCATCCACAGGCTAGCCCCATCAATAAATTATATAATGCACACTACCGAAAGCTATTGAATCACATTAAGAAATAAATAAGTTATCTTTCTACACAATATGGACATTTGAATTAATCAGATATCTAATATAAATTAAAATAAAAAAGTACCGGTACAGGTGCCTTGCACACACCGAGGTCTAATTGTCCTATAGCCGATATGGTAACATGTGGTTATGCGGCCCGAGAGCCGCACATATTTTTGGTCCTTTCGATGACGTCCAAACGCTTCCCCCGCCACGGACCGTGACACGTGGCGCAACCCCAGCCCCAGAGTCTTTTAGACCCGAGCGACTGGATCAAACGTCACGGGGCGATCCCAGCAGGCTAGCTAGACGCTAGCCTCGGGATCATCCCCCCTCCCCTCCCCTCCCTTTTCCACCTGCCGTGCCGGGGAAGCCGTTTGAGACCCGTTCCCTTCGACCGCCCCCTTCACTTATACTCTCATAAATACACGATTAACAACAAACATTAAATAAGGACGAGGATGGAATGTAATTTGTACAACATCACTGGTGCGCGTTGTCTCTGCTGCGTACTACAGGGCGCTGCGCGGCGCCTATTGGTGCAGCCAGTTGTCGGGCAGGGTCATCCTGGCCACCGAGTACAAGGTGTCGGCGTACCAGTGCACGCCGGGGGCGGGCTGCGGCGACGATCTGACGGTCGGCTTGCTCAGAGGGCTCGACAGCGTCCTGCCCAGCCTGAGCATGGCGTCCTTGAGATTGAACCATACCCTGATGGGGGCGAAAGCCCAGTGCGCCAGGCGCTGCGAGTCCACGACGGCGTAGCACGAGGCCACCACGTCGTCCACCACCACGGTGCCGGCCCGGGTGAGGGGCGCGAACACGCCTTCCTCCAGCACCAGCTGCACGTCGACCACTGTGTCCAGCACCGCGTCCTGCGCAGTGGCGGCCCTGTCGTGCTTCGTGGCGCCCGGCACGAGCACGCGGTCGCCGGGGACCACACGTTCCGCAAACTCCGTCTCGACGGCGTCGTCCACGTCCTCGACGCTGTTGGCGTCCTCCGGCCTCCGCGGCCTCTGCCGCTGCGGCCGCCGCCTGACGACGGGCACCAGGTGGGTGGGGGTGAGCGTCAGCGTCCTGTTGCTGGCCGTCCGGACGCGCAGGAACTGCCGCCGCTCGTCGGGCGTCCGGTCAATGAACATGAGCACCTCGCTGAAGGACAGTCGACCCGTCGCGTCGTCCCTCGCCAGGACCGAGTCGCCGACGCGGAGCTCCGACATGCGTTTCTCGCCCTCCGGTGTCCGCACCACGCTGTCGGCGGGGAAGCAACCGCCAGACCGAGCGGCCTGCGAGGATTCTGCAATAAGAAGAAAAGATGGATAGGTCAGTTTGAGGGTCTCAGCGGTCGGTAGTTTGAAGCCGTTTTAACACATTCCATGAGCCCCCCTCCCTTTCCCTCCTCCTCATTTTCCAAACGCGGCATCTCATCTTCCTGAGTGAAAGCCGCTGCCACGGTTTGACCTCAGCACGCGAGGGTCGTCCTCAGTTCCTCCCCCCTCCCCCCTGGGGTTGTTGAACTGTAACGCCAGCTAACGGGGCGTGAGCCCGGTTCACGTATACGTGCGATGTGCAAGGACAGAGGACAGTCATTAGCTATAGCAAAAATCTAGGAGAGAGAGTAAAAGAAATGCAACGAGGCTCGGGAGAGAAAGAGAGATAGACCAACAGATAGAACGTAACAAAGGCGTATGGGGGAGAGAAAGAGAGAAAAAGAGAGAGAGAGTCGTAGTATGGGGTGCAGCACATGAAGAACGAGGAAGAAAAGTGAGGTTGAGAGAGTGAGAGAAGGAGAGGTGATTGTATAGGGAACGCGAGGAATGCATGCGGATAGGTGATGTGTCCTGGTAATGAGATTACATCGGCAGTGTCCCAGCCCCGGCTTGGTAAGCCGGACTAGACCCGTATACTCGCAGTCACTGCTCCCCGTTGTACACAAAGCGTACGAGCAGCACTGTAGCTTTTGCAAAGATAATCTCTCGTCTGAGATAGGATATCACAGCGATGACATTTTTTTTCCTGCCCATACTACGACGCCTCAAAACGGAGATTAAAAAGCTAATTTTTTGGGCGCGAAATACCTCTCCTCCCTTCCCCTCAATTTTTGCTTGGTTTTCTGCGAGGACCAGACGTAGTACCACCACCCTCGACCTATCGGATTCGAGAGTACCGAAGAGGTATGCAAATCTAAGGCAGCCGGTACTCTGCGTGCCAGCCGGGCGCAGTATGTACAGGCAGACCAAGTACACGACACACACTCACTCACACACACACAGTGAGACCGCCTGACCGCCTCCCCGCTGGTACGTCGGGCGGCTCCCGGCATGTTAGATCGTAATGGGGCCCTCTTTAATGGGCGTAAGTTAACAAGAATTTGTTGGGAGTTGTGTTGGCTGCACTGAAAACCAAGATGGCGGCACCCCGGCGAGTCACGTGACTGTGGCCGTGGGAGGGTGGGGTGGTGGGGGGTAGCACACACTCACACCACTTCTGGTGCTCCGTCCAAGGACGTCTGCATGCCTCATCCTCCACTCGGTGTGCGTCTAAAGCCTTTCTAACGATGTAATCGTCCTGTCAACCTCACCCCCCCCCCCCTCCGCTCCCCTACGGTGTGAAAGGGGCGAAAATGTAGCCGTTTCTTAAAGACGGAGAGAGAGAGAGAAAAGATACCAACCTGACTTGACGGAGCAGTGGATGTGCGCGCGGCTCTCGTAGTACACCCAGTCGAAGCCCGCCTCCACGGCGAGCCTGGCGAGCATGCCGTACTTGGAGCGGTCCCGGTCCGAGGTGGTCACGTCCACGGCGCGGCCCTCGTAGTGCAGCGAGTCAGTGGCGTGCGGGCCCTCCTCGTCCCAGCCCTCGGTCACGCGCAGGCGCACGCCGGGCCACTGGTTCATCACGGAGATGGCCAGCGTGTTGAGCTTCTCCTTGCAGCGCTGCAGACAGAAGAAACATTGACGTCAGCAAAAGAGCAAAATTTCCTTTAAAAACATGCCAGAAAAAAAAAAAACGCCCGCCAATTTATGAGATCGTTCCACGGTGGTTCGAAATTTATACACGGTGAATGAAGGGGGAAATTAAGAAGCCCGTCTCTTCCTCTTTTCCCGCCGCGCTGCTGCCACCTGGATGTAAGATTCGCGCCACATCGTCAGGTGCGGGCAGGCGCGCGGGCGCTCTCCTCTCTCCCCCACACACACATTTGAGGATGCCCGCTGCCCGCCCGCCTGCCAGCCTGCCGAGGTGGAACGTTGTGATTACCAGCATTACAGAATTGGGCTGCTCCTTTGGTTGGCTGGCCTGAGCCTATCTCACATCCACATCCCCCTGCCCTGCTCCGCCCCGCCGGACTAGGTGGCCCCATGCACGGCAGTGTCTCCGGGCGGCGTGGCTGTTGACCCAACAAACACAACACCATTTTAGGGAATATAATAGCGGAGGCCAAAAGGATCACCACCAGGTGAGGTCGGTCGGTCGGTCGGCGGCGGGGCCCCGGGTCAGGGTGCGGAAGGGGGAGGAGGGAGGGAGGTGGAGGGGGTGCGGGTTCCCTTTGCGGCTCGAGTCGTCAAGTCGTGTCGCCCTTTGAAGTGGCCAGCGGGGGGCGTGCCCTCGTCGCCCTGCTCCAGCACGGCCGGGGGGGTTGCCTGCGCTGCAGCATCGGCAGATTGCAGCCGCCGCAGCCGCAGCAGCAGCAGGCAACCCGCAGCCTCTCGGCTGCGCAGCGCTGCCCCGCCGGGGCGTCCCATTGAAAACGGCCTTACAGACGCGCGGCTCAATTTCTCCCCCACCACCCCCTCGCCTCGCGCGGCGCCCCTTTGCGGCGAGGCTCGCCATTCAGGGCGACTTCCTGGCCTCTGGCCGGCCAGCCGGGGCGAGGGCGAGGAGGACGACACCCCGCGCTCCCCGCGGAGGTGACAGAGCAAGATTGTGACAGCTGCAGTCAATAGCTCTTTTGCGCTGTAGTTATTCCGCCGCCTGCTGCAGCCCGCCCTGCTCGCCCACATGCGCTCGGCGCCCGCCGCTGCTGCCGCAGCCAACCGAACGATTTGTTGAAGAATTGCGGCCTGTCTCTCTGCTGTGCGCGACGCACGCACACACACGGCAGAGTCTCGGCTGGCGCGCGCTGAATGAGAAAAGAGGCAGCGGCACCAAGTCACCCGGCCGGAGGACACGGCTTGTAAAGGCAATGGCACAGCCGGCAGGCAAATGTGCTGCTGCGGTCAGCAAAGCGATGGGATTATACTTCTCCAGCAAAGCCTTTCTCTGGAGGCTCCAGCAGCAGCAGCTCTGGCATTGGTCGGGCCGCGCGCTGCGGATGCTCTGCTCTCTGCCGCCGCCGGCCTCCTGGAGCGGCCGGCCCGGCAGCGCGAGCAGGAACGAGAGAATCCTCCTGCTCCTCCTTCCCTTTCCACTCTTCCACCTCCTCCACATCTCTCATTCCAATTTATGAATTCCGACCAAGACCAGGCGCAACAAAATGGAGACAGGCGGTACAAAAGGTTCTGGGTAGTACGGCCGACAACACGGCGGCCCCCCCGAAGGCGGCGCGGCCGGGGCGCTGAGCTGCTGCAGCGCAGAGCGCGAAAGAAGAAGCGAGCGGCGAGGACGCGCATCGTCCGGGTTACGATAGTCGTAACCCGGCCGGCGGGAGCGGCAAAGGCCGCCAGGATTTGAGGGCTATTCCGCGCCGTTGTGTCACAGCGGCTACCTCCGGCAGGCCGTCATCACGAACAACAACCACCACCACTCGGGTGATAACGCGCGGCTGATTGTGATTGATAAATCCGGCCCAGCCATCAGCCCCCACCACCACGGCCCCGCCCCGGAGCACGGCATTCTATGGGGGGTAAGGGGAGGAGGAGGGGGGCTCCGGGAGGCGGAGCCAGTTTGGAGAGGCTCGAGGCCACGTTGCCGCTCCGTCCGCCGGGCTCTTGCGCCGGGCTATCCGCTCCGCCCCGCGCTGGCTGGCTGGCTATGGGCCGGAGCGCAGCGCTGGAGGCGGCTGGAGGCTCCAGACATCACACCGGCACCATTACGCCACGCCGCGCCGGCCAAACGCCTCCAGCCGCGGAGGGATAAATATAGCGGAGCCGGCGCGGATAACAGCGGATAATGTCCGCCGACTCACGCCATTTATACGCGGGGGATTTGCTTCTAAACCTCTACTATCCAACCAAGAGGGAGGAAAAAAACGACAATTTTTTTCCCTCACGGCTTAACTAAAATCTGCACACTGTAATACATTCGGAGAGTTCGTGCGTGCACATTATGAATGCACATCGCGTGTTTTATTTCTTACAAATAAATGAGAAACGCTCGATGAACTGCTCCGTACTGCGTATATACAAGACAAGCAAGTCACCTGCTGTTTGTAACGAGAAGGTCCGGGTCGATACTACAAGACAGGCTGTCATGTCGAGGAAGGCCTCTGCTCCGCGCGCGCCGCCGCCCCACGACGCCACGCGCCACCGCGTGTCACCACGTGTCACTCGCCATTGATTCATCGGCGTGCCACGTGGCGGGATAAGAAGAAGGGGCAGCAGCAGCTGCTGCGCTCAGCCCTGCCTCGCGCATTCAAGTCTCCGGGCCCGGATCAGAAAGGTGTGAAACGAGCTGTGCAAGCATGACAAAATCTGTTGTAACATAAGGAACCTTTTTTCGAAATTAAAAAAAAAAAAACAATATTTAAAAAAAAAACTGCGCTATGCGCACTGACACATTACATTTTTAAGGAACAAAATACTAACTATCTCTAAGGGAATGCAATTTTTATTCACCCTTCGGAGCACTTAACGTCTGGACATTGGCTTTTTTTTGTATGTATTTAGGAACTCCGTGGTCGCGAGGTGCAACCTGGGCAAGAAGGTGTAGAGGACCGTGGGACTTTTCAGATGAGTTTTCGTGCCATCGGACCGGGCAGCGGCGGGGGGGTTCCAGCCCCGTACCTTTCGGGCCTAGTCAACTCAAATGTTGGCAGAGGGCAAACATGAGAGCGCAGGCAGGCAGACAAAAAACCCCGACACTGTTATAACATGCGGCACAATGTTTTAAACAGGAATGAAAGACTAATGTCAAGGGTGTTAAGGGGTGCAGAGTTGATTTTTAAAATTTGCGCGGTATACACTCTTAAATTCTTACAAAGAGAAACTCTTGTATTACAAAGAATTTTGTGCAACCGTAATACAAAGACAAATTTTCTTTGTAATACAAAGAAGAATCATTGTAATACAAAGAAAACTTTTGTTTAATACAAGGAAATTTCTTGTAATACAAGGAAATTTCTTGTATATTACGGTTGCACAGAATTCTTTGCATTATACGAACAAATTCTTTGTAAAAGATTTAGAGTGTAATCAAAACAATTACCGATGATGAGACAACCGTAAAATGCATCGAGCCCACACAACACCAGTAAACTCTCCCTCCTCTCCCCTCCCTCGGTCCCCGTCGACGCCGCGGCCGCGATTCCCCGTGCGCCAAATGGCTGTTGCATTTCCTCGCCGTTTTGCCAAATGAGCCTCTTGTTGCTCCGCTCGCAGAGCGGGGCCCGCGCCGTCCTCCCATACATAACACAATACCCGCACCGGATTGCTTTCAGGAAAAATGGCTTGCGGTTCCCTGTTCCCCCCGCCAAGGCTCTCGCGTACACATCGCCGTGCTCGGCTCTCGCTCGGCTCGGCACGCCGGCTGAATGGTGTAGAGGCGAGTCGAGTGTCTGTGACGTGTGGATGACACGTTGGCTTAGAGGGGATGCTGTTATTGTTGTGGCCAGATGAAACGCCAGCATGGTGTGTGGCATAGTTAATAGGCTTTATCTCTCTCTCTCTCTCTCTCTCTCTCTCTCTCTCTCTCGAAAAAGTTGCAAACGAGACATGACTGCAATGCACTGTATTATACCGCAGTGTTGTATTGGACCAAATAATCAACCCAAGAACCATTTGAATTGCTGAATGAATGACCCGGATGAACCGCGTGGTTTCCTTGGCTATCAGAGGCCAGAGGCGTGCGTCATCCTTTAAAACGACAGCCACGTGAGAACAGGGTTTTATCCACCAGGACGGACACCGAGGCCAAGCCAAGCCAGCGGCGAACAGGTGAGCGATACTGTCCCACGGGACCGGGACCGACAGCCAGCGCCGGCGAAAAGAAAGTCAAATAGTAAAATAAACAAAAGCAAAAGCAAGACGGCACACCGGGCGGTGGCGGCGGGTTCCGTTTGAGTGTTGCCGCGCGCACCGCACACGTAGCTGGCAGCCACCACCCCCACCCCGGTCCTGCCCCCTGCCCTGCGCTGGACCAGGTGACACAGTGCGGCTGTTTGTGTTGGTGGGCGAGCGCACACAAACACCAGACACACACAGGCACGCACGTCACACGAGTGTCTGGCAGTCACGTGAGATTGAGGGGTGGTCCGTGTCTTCCTTTCTGTTGTCATTATCCGCTGATTTGATTTTCTCTAATGAAAAAGCAAAGTTTTGCACGCGGGGACGTCGGAAATTTCTCCGTTTGTGCTCTTTTGGAAAGCTAAACAAAGAAAGGAAGGAGATGACAACACTTGGCTGCCCCTTCCTGGTAAGGTGGGAAAATTTTCTCATGCGTGAAGCGCAAAGTTATGCCTGCGTGTATGGATGGATATGCGGTCGCGGCTGCCTGCTCAGCCTCCATCTTCAAACTGCAGCAGCACAAGGCACACACACACATAGGCATTTAGACGGCACTAATAAAAGGCTCAAAGCAAAAGAGACGACACAAGGAGAAAAGAGGGGAAAAATAAAATGAAAAAAAAAATCTTATCATTTGTAGCCTCAGCAAGCATGTTGGCACTATGTGAGTCACCCCCGGCGCCCCGCTGCGCTCACCGCTGCGCGCGGCCCCGGGGGCGATGCTCACCTCACAAGCTCGCATGGCGGTCTGCCGCTGCTCCGCTGCACCACCAAAC